GATTTATTAAAACCAAAATAAAGTATTGAAGTCATTTTCTTCAAAAATCAGACTAAACTCGAAGTGAGTATAGAACCTAGTTGAATGCATCCATTGATTGTATTCAATTTCTTCTAAGGCAAGGGCTAGCATATGAATATGATAATTCAAGTAATTAAGGAAACTTCCTTGAGCTTCTTATTGGGAATCACATATGAGTTCTTGCAAGCATTACAGAGGAGAATGTTATGACATTAGTTCAAGTATCCAAGCAACAATTTCAAATGATAAGGAAAATTGATTGGAGTTGTTTTTTTAATGATGTCTCATCTTTTTGTGAAAAATATGAGATAATTATTCTAGATATGGACGATATTTTTAAAGCTCAAGAGAGGCTAAGACGTACTTAATAAAAGAAAATTTTGGACAACTATCAAGTTGAGTTATATTATACTGTCATAGTTATGAAACTTCAAGAGCTAAATAGCCACTTTACTGAGCTAAAAATTAATTTACTTCTTTGTGTGACATGTTTGAGTCCTTCTGATTTCTTCTCAGCTTTTGACAAGAAGAAATTGATTCTTCTTGCCCAATTTTATCCGAAATAATTTTCTTCACTAGAGCTTATAATACTTTTTGATTAGCTGAATCGTTATATTATTGATACAAATCTGATAAGGATTAGGGATCTTGCTCAGAAAATAGTTAAGACAAAAAAAGAACGTGGTATCTCAATTGATCTACTTACTTGTGCATTGGCATTGATCTTGCCAGTTGCGATTGCCAAGATAGAGAAAGCATTTTTGGCAATGAAGATTGCGAAGAATTGATTGTGTAATAGAATGGATGGTCAATGGATGATAGATAAAGTAGCTAATTTATTTCTTTTTTAGTTTTTCGTGGCTCAGATTATTTCAGTATTATTGATCTGATGATCGTAATTAATCTACATTCTTACAAGAATCTAATACAGTCCTTTTATCTCTCCTCATCCTCATTCAAACTATTAGAGAGATTGACTTGAACGATTATATATATAATAATAATAACATAATATATATAATATCTATTAAAACTTTAATAATAAGGATTATCTATAATAAAATATAGGTACATTAACATATGTCGTCCTATCTATCTATCTATATATATATTTATACCAATATCTATATCTATATATCTATATAATAAAGTAGTTAAATATTTTTGTTTTGAGTTTTTCGCGGCTCAGATCGTTTGAGACTTATTGATTCAACGATTTTAATTAGACTTTCATTCATTTTAAGACTCTCATCTTTAATATAACTCTTTTTATCTCATACATCCAACTCTCATACTTATATAAGTCTCTCCCTCATAAACATTTTAAAGACACACTCTCCCATATCTCATACTCTCTCTCTCTCTCTCTCTATATATATATATATATATATAGATGAGAAAGAATGAAAGTTTAATTAGGATCGTCAGTACAAACAATGTTATCTCATTCTGTTTCTCTTAGCATTATTTGTTTGTCTTGACGATTCTAATTGAATTTATTTACTCAAAACATTTGTATGATTTTATAGAAGAGAAAATATTTAATTATTAAAAATAATTCTCAAGTTGTAGATATTCAAAACCAAGCTAATCACTAATAACAAAAATTCAAAATCAAGCAAATCACCAATAAAAAATAACAAGTGATAATAATTGTACCAAAAAAAAAAAAAATTCAAAGTCAAGCTAATCATTAATAAAAAATAACAAGTGATATCAATTGAACCAAAAAAAACTAAGACATTCAAAGTCAAGCTAATTACCAATAAAAAAATATCAATGACCAATAAAAAAAAAAGTGAAACCAATTGCACAAAAATATATATATATTTTTTACCAACTATCAATTTTTTTACCTTATTTGTATCGCTTTCCTCTTGCTAATGTTCATATTTTTTTAAATGCTTAAATAGTGTAAAATAGACACTGAAACGATAAAAATGTCAATTAAATCAATTTTTTTTAAGTAGTGTAATTTAATTTTGTCGATTTGGTTTAATTTTAGCGTGAAAATATTTTTATAGCATCCGAGAAGTCATAGTGACAGATAATTTAAATCAATTGTCCTTACAGCTATAAGCAGATTTGTTGGACGATGTTATTCAGGTGGGGTTTTTTTCTATTTTTAAGAAGTTTGGTTTATAGTTCAATGTGAAGTAGACAATTTATTCATTAGATTTAGCAAGAGGTTGAAAAAATGAACATTCATTGGGAAGAAGAGCTGTCATGAAGAAATATATGACAATATAATTTTGTAAAGGTGTTAATTTAAGTTCGTAGGAATTTTCGGATTGTGTTAATGTGATATAATTTTTTCATTTCAATTCTTACACTTCTTTTATTTAATACATTTTTGGATGCCTCATTTGCTTGAAATTTTTTTTGTGTTAAGAGTTCATTCAAGCACACCCTAATATTTTTCTATGTTCAATGGATTCCGATTTATAGATGCAAAAGTTTGAATCTAATCTACATAGAATACAACTTCCACACGATTTAGATAAGCTAGAGAAAGTCAAATAACAATAACTAATTGGATAGATAAGCATTCCAAACTCGCAAAGTCTTCAAACTATCAATTGGAAGCCCCATGGGTTATATATCAGATTCTAATCCAATTCTATACCAACATTCTTAAACCAATACAACATTGGGACACGTTCCATTGGCTACTAATAAATTTATGAAGATAGGTAAATGACCATGTAAAAGTCTATATGCCAAAACCCTTTTTAGTAATCTAATGCCAAAAACTTAGGGTTGAATTGTAATCGTTTTTGTTTTATGTTTTTTATTTTTGTTTTCACCCTTTTTGAAAATTAAAAATGACAATGTGTTTGGTAACATTTCGATGCTATTGTCGTTTTTCATTTCATGAAAACTTATCCAATGTATAAGTATATATTATAATATATAATATATTAATATTATATTCATATATACATATAAGTATATAATATACATATATATAAGTATATATTATAATATATTATATATTAATATTATATTATATTATAATATAATATATTATAATATATACTTATATATATATTATGTTATATAATATATATTAATATATAATATAATATATATAATATTCATATATACATATTATAATATAATATAATATAATATAATATATATTATGAGAGAGAGGAAGAAGTAACAAAAAAAAAAAAGAATGAAGAAATTTGCTGCTATGGAGACTCGAAGGGCAGACCTCATTAAAGTACAAAATTGTTCTCCTTGTTTTTAAAATTTTTAAAGAATACTCTAAAAACAAACTAAACTTGTTTTCTGTTTCTTTAACTCAAATCTCATTTTTTCTCAAAATTTTAAGAACAAAAATGCTAAACAAACAGGTTTCGGGTGTTTTTGAAATTTTGAAAACAAAAAACAATTTTCAGAAAGCTAACTAAACATGGCCATTGTTTTAAAAACAACAAAATTGAAAACAGGTATCAACCAACTATCACCGCTGCCAACCACCGGCTAGCACAATTGCCATGCAAAACCTGTCATCACTACCCACACTCACCTCCACCACCACCATTAACACTACCACCCCCGCCACCATAATGCCCACCCCTCACCACCATCCCATCCTCTACCACTACCACCAACACCACCACCCAATTATCATCACCATCACCACCGTTGTTACTATCATTATGCACCACTACCTATCACTAGCTGCCACCACCAACGCCCTCCGACCCATAGCTACCATCTTCTTACGTAGGGGTGTTTAAATTTTCGATTGGCTACAAGATCCTATCCTACCCTACTGAACGGCTAGTCGCAAAAATCGGGTAAGAATACAGAAAAGTTTTTGGTCTTCCGACAATTTTCGGGTAGGAATGTGGAATAGTCATCCATTTCCACATTCCTACCCTACCTTACCCGCAATAATTTTTTAATATATATATATATATATATAAACTAAAAAAACCCTAAACCCTAACTACATGCGGAGCAATTATGATTTTAATGTATTTCATATGATTTAAAGTTTAAACTTAAATTAATTATTATTGTATTTGTGTAACAATTATGGTGAATTGATGTTCATACTTTCTTGTGTTTTATTATAATTCTTGTTGTAGTTGTTTTAGATTTTGTGTTAATTGATTTATTGTGTTGTTAAATTGGTACATGTTATTTAATTAAATTGTTAAAATGATCCAAAAATTAATTGTTACAAAAATGTTTACCCAATTTCCTACCCGACTTCTTATCCAATTAATCGGATAGGAATAATACAACTATCGGGTAGGGTAGGTCAAGAAAAAACTCTTCCGCAAAGTATCGGGTAGGAAGACGGAAGAACATATTTTCTACTCATAGGGTAGGGTGAACACCCCTATTCTTACGCCACCAGCCCCCATCCCTACTATCATCTTTAACCATCACCACCACTATTACCCACCACCACCACCACTATCCCATCGCCATACGATTTTCAATTTTCTTAAATATCAAAACATAAGAACTTTTCAATTTTCATATTGTAAATTAAAAATTAAAAACGTTACCAAATGACCCTTAAACTTTTTAGTCACCTAAAAAAGAAAATAACATTAAACACTTATCTGCCGTAAATCCTTGGAATCTACTAACTTCCAGCATATTTCTTCATAATTCTTCTTGGGATTTGCACAACACTATAATTAGCGCAAAATGTACGAATGACAAGAAAATAAGGGGGTCCAACAGTAGGGTTCTATGGTTTTCTTTTTCCTACTTCTTCTCAAGAATCAAACCAGGGAATTGAAAACGGGAGCTTATACATAACTACATATAATAATGGAAGTAGAAACTTTGATCTGACATAGATAAGACAATTTACCAAAATAATATTTACAGAAAACACCACACAAAAAATAGCTGATTATAGCCTGGATGCCACGAAAATATCTGCTTCTTTTTTATCAGCTTGAGAGATATTCAGTGGCAGAATTGTCAAAAATGTAAGGTGCTTAAAATTGAGCTAGCCCAGCCAAGCTACCTTTGGAAGCAAGCCCAATCATGAACAGCACATAGGAATCCTTAAGGCTGAATTGAGGTTTAAATAGGCAGCCCATTTTGACCTTCAATTGAATCTTCTTTCCATTCTTGGCCATGCATCTATGCGTTGTTGCCTTTCCATTGTCCTCACACACCTCTGGTTCTTCTATGATGACCTTTCCATTGTCCTCACACACCTCTGGTTCTTCTATGATGGTTCCGAGCTTCATCTTGAGGATTTCCTCTATGTCCAATCCCGACTCGGTTCTCAAGCTTTCCCTGCTTCTGCAAGGCACCACCCACCACATCTTTTGACTTCCCCTCAAATTCTTGAATATTATGACCCTTTAGATATGGATGTAATCTTCACCTACCAAGAAACCTTTCTCAGCTCCTTTTGCCCTAAACAAGTTATAAGGACCCTTCAGCATAGTATATAGTATGTAATCTCTCTCTCTCTCTCTCTCTCTTGTGAAGAGGGAGGATGTAGATGGGGAGAAGGTGAGAGGGGCAGCAGCAGGACTAGTTCCAAAAGCTAAAGCTTTTTCTCCTTTACAGCATGATTTGATCATGGCAAGCTCTTGTTTAATACAAAAGCTTTGCTTGTCAACTCACCCTGGATTGCTTCAACAAAAGACAACATCATGGATAAGATATGTTTTTTTTGAAGAGCTTCAGGTTTTTTTTAAAGATCTGTCACCCAGTCCTTTTCCTGGAGCGGTTGTACATGTAGTTAATTGACTAACGACTATTACACTTTGCATCTAAACAATTTAATAATATTTATTTTACACTTTCAAAAATTAGATTTATTATAATATACCTCAATATTTTAATGTGGTCCTATTGGTTACCTTCTATTACTTATTCCATCAATGTCAATGGAGTAATTTTTTGACATAATGAGTAATACAAGCTAATTGAAGACTACAGTAAACACTTTTGATACATCGATTGTACAATATAAAAAATTTAATTTTTAAGGGTATAACATAAAAATTCTTAAATTGTTGGGGGTGCAAAGTGACATCCCCTTTAAAATTATAAATTTACTCGTGAGAGATTAAAAAGTGTTATATTATTCCTTTATTTTAAACAGCAATAATGCATCCCACGTCATCTCATTTTTCCATCTGCTGACATTCTCACACGCTTTGCACGTGATGAGAGACAACTTATTTTTTTATGGGAAATAGTAATAATGTGATAATTTTATTGACTGAAAATTAAAAGCCGGCTAGTGGTTGGGTCAAAGTGCAAATAGTAATAATTTTTTCATTGTTTTTTTTTTGTTGGTCTGGGTGATCAAGTCAAGATGAAAAGGTCTTCAAGACATGGTATTCCTTCTTGAAAATATTAACAAAAAGTCCTACTTTTGGTTAAAAAAATAAAATTATTTAATTCTGTAAATTTTATAGTAGGACAAGTAAATCTTAACTTTTCAACATAATTTCAATAAAGTCCTAATTCTCTTAGGATTCCTCTTTTTTCCATTAGGTTTTAATTACCAAAATGTTGTCTTACGAAAAAACTTAATAAATTGAAAAATAAACAGCGAAGAGCATAAGTGAACAAATAAATAATAAAACAACAAATAATTAAATAAATCATCCGACAAATCGTTAATACAACGTCAGAAAAATTATTTTAACACTAGTATGTCACAAAGTAGGATGATTAATGAACTACTTAATTTTTATGTAAATTTTAACAAAAAATAGTAAATTAATTGAAGTTGTCAAATGTCTTACAACGTCGTCATATACATTTGGAGGCAGTCATTATGTTTTTTTTGACTTAGTGTTGATTAGACGAAGAAATTTTATGAACAAAAAGTGTAATGGATTGTCTAATGAGACAGGGTAAAATCGGAATAAATATATAATTGATGGAGCCTTAAAGTAATTTAGAACAAATTATTAGAAATAGGACTAGATTGTCCTAATAAAAATTTAATAGAACCCAATGATTAAATTTAATGAAAGGTAGAGCTTGTTTGGTATGTGAAGGAACATATAAGGCTTATTTTCTAGCTGGAACATTCCAAAGGCCATCAAGTGGGATACAAAAATAACATAGTTGCTCTTTATAAAAAGCAATGACATATTTTTTTTTGAGATACAAGATATTAAAATTTAAATATATACTTACTCTAAATTTAAATTCAATAAGTGGACTTGTAACCAAGCATAACACGGCGTGGATGATAATGAACTGGCTTATAAAGTTGGCACAATTTTTGGTAGTGTGGATGACCTTTACACTGAAGGAATTCTTTAGACTGTACATACGGGAGATAGTCCGGTTACATGGAATACCAGTATCTATAGTGTCAGATCGGAATCTCAAGATTATAACCCATTTTTGGAAGAGTTTTTAGCGGGCTATGGGGACACAATTGCTAATGAGCACAAGTTTTCATCCCTAGATAGACAGGTCAGTCAAAGATGACCATCTAAACTTTAGAGGATATACTACAAGTATGCATCCTTGATCTTAAGGATAACTGGGAAGAACACATACCCTTAGTGGGTTCGCCTACAACAATAGTTATCAGGCGAGCATATAGGTAACACTCTATGAGACACTTTATGGGAGGTCCTACTATCATCCGGTTTGTTGCACAGAGGTTGGAAAAGACCATCTACGGGCCCAGATTTGATTAGAGGCATTTCAAAGAAGGTGAAATTGATATGAAAACGTCTTTTCTCGGCTCAGAGTCGGCAAAAGAGCTACGTCGACAGATGACGACAATCTCTGAAGTTTGAGCTCAGAGATCATATCCTCTTGAAGATGATGCCCAAGAGATAAGTGATCAGGTTCAAGAAGCGGAAAAAGTTGTCACCGAGGTATATCGGGCCCTTCAAGATACTAGAGAGGGTTGATACAATTACTTACTGGTTGGCGTTACCGCCAAATTTATTAAATGTTCACGTGGTGTTTCATATCTGCATACTCTAGAAGTACACTCCAGATGCTAAACATGTGGTGGATTGGGGTGAGCTGGTTATTGATGTGGATGTAACCTTTGAGGAGGGGGACCAGTGCGTATTATGAATAGTCGAGAACAAGTTTTATGAGGCAAGACCGTGAGGCTGGTGAAAGTGTTGTGGCAGCACCGTGGTGTGGAAAAAACGACATGGGAGCGTGATAATATTATACGTGTCAGTTTATCCGTTCTTGTTCATTAATTGTTATATGACTATTGCATATGCATGTGGTTGAATGTGCATGTGTGTGTAAATTTCGGGGACAAAATTATTTTTGATGGAAGAATGTAAAACTTGAAAATTTAAATTTTGATAAAAAAATGGCAAAATGGTAATTAGTCGCTATGGTACGGATTGAAAACTCAAAATTTTCTGAAACTTGGATAACGAAACGGACCTTACCGTTGGATTCATCTCGCGGAATCTTATTTCTCTGTCAATTTTTGTTGAATTTTGAGATAATTGATTTTTTTATATTTTACGAGGCGATCGGGCATTGCGTGACCAAAATAAACGCGACCGAGAAATAAATTACAAAACATGAAAAATAATTTAAAGTTACTTCAAATAAAATATATTGAACTTAAAACAAAACGAGATTTAATTGATTTGGGATGAAATCGGATTAGTAAATATGACACGTTGGCGCGTTGTTGGTCAAGCATCCAAATGGTATAAAAAGGGCGAAAATCAAAATTTTTCCCAATTTAGGTTGCTGAATTTCGTTGGAGAGAGAGGGAAGAGGAGAGAGAAAATCAAGGGTTTCTTCTTCTTCTTGCAATCTAGAGTCAACCTTTGGTCGGAATCATTCGGACCAAGAGCTAAAGTTCATTTACTCGACAAACTACATCTACATACCAAAAATCAAAAATTTTGATGAAGTCTTAAAGATGCAATTTTTGGAAATCAAGGCTAGATGCTTGATTTTGGTATTCTTGGAGTTTCTACCATTTTGCATCACGCTTCAAGCAGTAGGATTTTTCTCCTAGTTATGTCTATTTTTAATCTAGGATTTCGTATGAAATGGGTAGCATGACTTAAGATAAAATCTCTTGTCTAAATGTATTTTTAGTATAACTAGAGAATGAGAAATGGTATAACAATGTATAAAACTAATTTTCGCATGAATTGTATTTTGGGTAAAATTGCTTATTTTGGTAATTTCATAAAAAAAATGTGTTGATTGGGTATGCTGTGTCTTTACATTTATGCTTTGAAGGTGTTTGATAAAATACCTATGTTGATTTAGCATGTTGGTTTCATTGAAAATGTTATAACGTGCTTGGTGAAAATCGTGGAATGTAATTATATGCTTATGATATAATTTACATTGTGAAATGGTGTATGTCATGTTACACTCTTGAAATGATGAATTTGACATTGGAATTGTTCATATTGTGCTCATAACATGTTGAACATGATATTGTAATTGCAATTGAAAAATTGGTTGCATAATGATATGAAATGCAATGGTTCATTATATTTGCATATGCACAGAAAATATCGCATTCATGGGCATTTGACATAAGTGTGGGTATGTGTGCACGTTTTTGGATCAAACACTAGTCTTGGTGGTTGAGGTGTGAACTAGGGAAGGTTGGACCTAGGTTCGACTGAGTTGCACGAGTTGCATGGAAAACTTATGTCAGCTATAGTAAGAAGGGTTAGACTCTCCCTCGGGTACAAGACTCAGTTCCTGATTTATACACTTCCGACAATAAAAGTCCAAAAAAGTGTATTAGTGTACGCAAAATCGGAGGAGGGATACCAAAATCTGTGTTGGTACAGTAGACCGTTGATGCAAGTCCAAGAAATCACCTACCCAAGAAAGACACATGGTTCATTTTATAAAATAGTCATTGGATGTACGACATCAATGGCAGGGGCTTGGAATGCTTGAATTTATATGCATAACTTTGCATGTGTTATGAGAGCTAGTGAAGGCTCAGATTGCATTGCATATGTGAGTTTCACCTCATAACATGACATGACATTATGACATTCGTTCTTGGATGAATGTTTATTTAATTGTTAAATGACATGTGTGCATTTCATATGCATTTAGGTTGGGGAGTAGCCTCTTTAGGAAATACCCTATTGAGCGTGACTCACCATTTATGGGGACAACACTTTAAGTGCGGGACATGCACCGGTGGAGGGATCTCACTTGGTGCCTCATTGATGAAGAGAGTCGAATTGTGCCTTTAAATAACATGTGTAGTAAAACAAGTGTGTAATTAGTTTTTGGATATGTACTGTTGTATAAGGACTGTAAAATGAACTCATATGAATTGTATTTTGTGTAAAATTTGATGTTATATGAGTGTGAGTAGATGTTGTGTGAGATTGTAAGAGTTAGAGTTGAAAAAATAATTGAATTGGGGGCAAACTGGACTCTTCTACCGGTAGAACGTTGATTATCTACCGATAAAAAAGTTCCAGACAATTCTTTTACTAGTAGAATGTTGATTATCTACCGATAGAAATATTACAACGAGCTCTTCTACTAGTAAAACGTTGATTATCTACTAATGAATTTTTCTACCGATAGAACATTGGATACCTACTGGT